ACGACGACGACGACGACGACGACGACGACGACGGCACACGAACGGAAAAGTGTCTCAGAAAGTGGTTTTCTACGCGTTTCATGAGTTTTTATGATGATCTAAACCAATTTTGTGAAAAAAGTTTTCGGGACCAATTCCTATACTTTCCCTTGACACGTTGTGTACGGAAAAGTAAAAAGAATGCATGTTTATGGCCAAGTAAATTTAGCAAAAAGAATGCATTTTGTTCCACCTATTCAGATAATAATAAAGAAAAGCATGTTCTCATCACGGAGGACGGTAGTCCGACAAGTGACGCTCCATAAACTGTGCATTTCAAGCCAAATGTCAAAAATGTCAATTTGCGTCACGACTTTATATACAGTTAGGTACCGTTGGAAAGGTATTGGCCAAAATAGGCGAAAACACCATATCTTCCATGCCTAAGTGTGGTCTAGTCGAAAATATAGTGGTTGCAAAATTGGCAGTTTGACCATGGTTTTCTATGAAATTATCGATTTGGATGTACGTTTGTACGTCTGTCCGTACTTTTTTTGACCGCCGACGGATCCCGGTACCGATATGCCCAAGTTGTAGCTGGTGTCGGGACATATCGAAACCCGTCTTCAGATTGACATTTGCATTACAGACGAGCTTGCTATGGCTTCACTAATCTGCATATATACGATTTTTTGAAGTATTTATTTCGCACACTGGATCAACTCAGTCGCCGATCGGGTATTATTTGAGAAGACTTTCAAAAAGTTCCATACACACATTCATGTGATATAAAAGAAAAAAGTCGACCCCCTTAAATTTCACCACAAACACGAATTCTCAAAAATCCGCCCAACCGATGTTAACCAAAACCTGAGCGTTTAAAGCCGGCCACCATACCCACAAAATGGCATATGCCAAATATCCGGGAAAATTCGTATTTCGAAGTTCTGGGCATCGGCAACCCATTGATGAACGAAATTTGTATGAAGAGTCGCATTCTACGATGAAAATGCTGCCGAAAACACGCATTGACTTCCTGGAAAAGGCTCCTGAAAGGCCATATCCGCTCAATTTTCGACGAGCAATCGATTAAAAGTGGTCACAATGCGATCTGAGGGCATTTCATGGTCGAAAAATAAGTCGGATTGTAGTGAATTCTTCAACTTGCATTATTCGCACTGAAAATTAAATTTTTTTTTCGAAATACACCTCTAACGATGTTTTCGTCTTAGAAAACTACCAATTTTTCGTGCAAATAATGGGAGTCTACGAACATTTGTGTCCAGCAATGGACAATACACAAAAAGTGATCGTACGTGATTGAAAATGTCAACAAATCAACAATAACACTTGAAAAAGCTTAGCTATCAATTTGGAAATGTTTAGATGTTAAGCACCTCATTGTCTTGCGATTTGATGTTTATGTTTACTTCTGAAGCACGAAGTTCATTTCATATTTAGATAAAAAGCACGTAACTTATTATTTTTCTTAAAAACACGTATTGCATTTTGCTTATTATTGTTCTTAAAAAACACGTATTGCATTTTGCTAAATCAGCATTTAATTAGTATAAATAGAGCTATAGAATGATAGTTTAGTTAGTTCAAATTTGTAACTCAAACCGTTCATTTAAAATAAAGTGAATATAAAATTTTATGTAAAGTTGTTCACTCTACAATTTGAATACCCCATTTCATTGTGATTTTGGTCATAAATCGGCATTTTGGCATCTGAATGTATGAAATTGAACTTTTGTTCGGGGGATACATAAAAAATGCACTTTCCAGAGCTTTGGTGGTTGGAAATTAATATGTTTCAATGAAGTAATGGGTCTAAAATTACTTCAAATCTCTTTTAATGGATATTTTGAAATTTAATCTGCGTATCCAAAGAAAATACAGCGTCCTTGCGTCACTCAAAATGATATCATTCTTTTTGAGTGGTAAATCAACGGACAGGAGCGTCACTCCATTTTAACCTCGTCTAGAGATTTTTAATCTGATACATTTATATTGTCAAAAAAGAAAGTATGTTTGCTAAAAACAATGTAAACAATTAAATTTATTTCGATCACTTTCAACAGGATTTCATGAACGTTAACACGTTCGAACAAGCGAACGACCAATATATTTGTTATTGGACACACCACTTGTCACGTCGCATTTTTTCTTGAGTGGAGTTACAGGCGCACAGTACTCTCATTGATGGAACACGCATCTCCTGTTCATTCCATTCATAACCGAACGCCGTTTGAGTGTACACTGTACAACGACAAATACATGAGATGTCCGATCGTGTCAAGGTTTATAAATTCCTGTTTACGGCGGTCGGAATAGAGTAGATTTAAACTGAGATGCCGATTTCTGTTCTGTCACTTTTAACGCACCATTACATACACCACATATATAAATCATTTGTCAAAGTTACTTTGTCGTGCGCTAGAGCCTTCAGCGCCCCTTCAGCTTTGTTCTCGCATACAGTCGAACGCTTGCTTTATTATGAGTGTTAATACAGTAGATGTTTGTGCCGCTACGATAAGTGGAGAGAACGGCACGTTGACTGTTTGCATTTCATTCACACGCTGCTATATGAATGTAGCAATCGCCTGCAAACGAGTAAGAACAGAAATAATGTTCAATCGTCATGCGCTTGTTGGTGTGTGTTTGTGCATGTTTGATTGTCGCTTGATTAGCGTACACAAATGTCAGTCAGCATAGATGTTGAACAACATACATTCTTTTTTCGCTAACGTTACTATACAAAATACATACATTCTTCTAACCATTTTAAGTTGCTATCAAACATACTTCTCTTTATTGCTACGAAGTTGGACAAACTTGCGTTCTTTTACGTCTCACCAATAGATTTCATGTAGTGCTAAAAAGTGGGCTTCGTATTCCTTCTCAATTTCAAATAATTGATGAACGCGTGCACCGTAGCGTGATCAACGCACACTCGCTCGTTCGTTCGTATGCGAAAATCTTCGTTCGTTCGAAATTTCTGAGATGTTCGTTCGTAGATGATTTTTGAAAATTCTCCATTTACAGCAAGATTGTTGCTGTTTTTCATATGAAGAATATCTTTATTTAAATTGTCTCTTGCTGTAAATCGAGAAAAAATGAATTGGGATTCATTTTCGCAAATCACCTACAAACGAACGAACGAAGGAACGAACATTTTCGCATATGAAAGAACGAACGAATGAGCGCTCGTTGATCACTTTGATGTACCAAGTGCCCGGCACTAACAAAACAAAGTAAAACATGGTTATGCGATGAATTCGTTCAGCGCCATTAATTAGATGATGACATCGGTGGTTATCTTTATTAAACACAATCACCAAATTTTGTTACATTCATTTAGTGTGTTTTGTTCGCCTTCAGTATTTGACGCACAAACACACAATACTCATTCACAACTTGTGCACGTGGGTGGGTGGGTAAGTAATAATTTTGTGGAGTTCAATTTCCGTATGAATTAAGTCAGTTGGAGTATGAGTTGATCGTAATGACATAACTACATTTCCAATGCGCACGATCGTGTACGATCTAATATCGATTCGCAATCGTGAGTAATCAGGAAATTCCTGATTCGAATGTGCATTTGACGATGAGCGACTTACACTCAGTGTAGTATACTATATAATTTATTGGAAAGATAATACACATGAAAAAAGACAATGTTGCTCTTATTGATAACATCAATAAAATTTATTTGCAATGTAATTTACACTTTTACGACTAAAGTTGTAGCAATCTTGAAAATCGCTGGTATAATATGATAACATTTCTTGTGGAAAAAAAATATAAAGTATCGGCTATGAATAAAATATATGGCTGACAAATTTCAAGTTTAAATGCTATCCTCATCCAGTAGCAATCTTGTTTGAATTTAATTGTATTCCACTTTCTCTGATCATAATTGATTAAGAACCTACAACAACAATAAATTATTTAAACAAAGAAAAGGATTCCAAAAAATTATGATCAGAAGTCAAATGTTGTGTGTTATCAACGTTTAGTAAAAGTCTGAGAAATCAAGTTTCGAGTGGAATTTTCAGCAAATGAAATGGAATTAAATGAATGTGGTGTACTTTTAAATGTTGACTCTAATGATTCGATTGCCGGTTATTATCGTTGTTTGATTCGAGCTCCTCATAAATTTTAATCTGCAATTAATTATCGCTTGATCACACTGTAACCTGAAAATCAAGAATTTTTTTGAAAATAAACGTCTCCAAAGTCACAAAAAGAAAATGAAAAAATATGGAAAATAAACAGAGCGTGTTATGAGCTGATATCAGCAGCCCCAACTGAGGTCAGTTGCTGAGCTCAGCTGCTGACGAGTATGCGTTGCGTTATTTTAACGCTTTTGCAGTACAAAATTCATATTCCTCTCTAGTTTCCAAGTCAAATTTGAATGAAGAGAATATGAAATTTGACTTGTAAATGCGTTAAAACAACGCAACGCATACTCGTCAGCAGCTGAGCTCAGCAACTGACGTCAGTTAGTGCTGAAAATAAACCAAACAATTTTTCGTCCCGACTTCCCATCAAATGAACAATATAAATACCTGAACTGATAGAAATTTTTTGCGAAGCATCATTGTGAAATTTGACGCCAGCATTGCTGTCCCTTCTAAATATCGGGCGATGATTTTGATGTGTATTATGTGCTTGAACAATGGTGATCTTTTCTTTGTCGGAATCCATCGTTGGCATTTTTTCGAAAATACCGCTATCAGTGAGCGTCACATTTCCATTAATAATGTCTTCTCCTTGCGCATTCGCATTGGATTCTGCTACGTTAACAAAGGCTGTGGACAGTTCACCTTTCAATCGACTAACAATCTTACTGGCGATGTCGTACATATAGATCTCTTGTCCATTGGTTTCATTTCTATGAATATGAATTACGTTCAATTATAGATACAATTAATTAAACCTCTAAAGCGCAATTCTTTATTTTCGAATGATTTTTATATATGAACACAAAAAACTTTCGATACAGCTGTTAAATTTTTACGGGTAAGGTATTAAATGAAAGCTAGTTCATTTTCCTACACTCTTTTTCAAACAAGTATGCTTAAATATTTGGTGGTTTCGTATCTGGTTACTTTAGGAATCAATGTGCGATGAAGGGTTAATTAATGTCATTAAGTTGATTTTATATTAGAAACTTACCGCACAATCTTCTGCAAATGCGATCCACATGAAACTTTCAGAATCTTATTTTTCTCCAAAAAATGAAACCTCAGAAAGTTTAAAGTCAATGAGAATCGGTTTACGGGTACCTCTCATACAAAATTGTCGAAGTTTTAGTTAAAGTGACCGATTTTTCACTTTATTTTTATTATTATATTTTCACTGCCTTTATTTCAGTGATGGAATGGCATACGCCACCGTAGTCCATTCACTGGCTTATGCAGAATACAAGCGTAAGCCAACCATAAGCAATGAATGCGTTTACGCAATGAACGCAGGCCAACGGTACGGAAAAGTTCGGGATTACCAATGTAATTCTTTTTATTTCTCTTTTACTCAGACAAAATGAACGTTTGACAGCTACATTGACAGTTGTGTTTTTTTTCGTTTCTCGTCTTTGTTTACATTATTTTATCGTTTTTAAATAGTTATCCATATTGTTTTGTCACAAATTTCATATCATTCTATTCGTAAAGACTTGCTGTATTTGAATATTATAAAGTTCATCCGTGTCAACATCAATTTCGTCGATTTCTTTCTGTGATAATTTGTGCACATTTTTGGTTACGTCGCTCTCGTTACTCACATCGTTTTCCCGTGTTATTGTTGTTGTTTTTCATAACCATAAAATGGCCCAATGTGCGTTGTGTGTGAAACCCGTAGCCAATGACAAAAAAAAGCATTTCATGCTATGGTTTATGCGGCAAACATTTTCATTTTGCGTGCCTTAATAAAAATGATTCCACCACTGTTTTCAATAAAACTCTGACAAACTTTTTGGCGAAAATTTCCGGTTTACAGTGGTATTGTGACAGTTGTCAGCCACACACTCTTAGTGGCATTGTAAACAATTTCACTGAGTGTTCAAATTTTATTTTGGACCTCAAACAATCGCTAGTGCCTCTCATCGACAAAGTGTTGTACGCGGACTTACCGCAAAAGTATGCCAGCAACCAAAATGAACCAATTCGTTGCTTCGTTTTGTTGAAAATGCCAATGCTACCGTGCACACTGAAAATGTTGTGATCGAAGAAAAGTCAGCGGAACCGATGGACGAGGATGTTAGTAATGATGATGACG